TAGAATTGGGGAGTGGGTATGTGATCTCGGGAGGTGAGGGGGGTGTTAATGAAGGAATGGGAGAGTGAGATGTTCATTAATGACATACTGTGACTGGGTTTGCCTGCTGTCTTTGACTTTTGACTCTCTGTGTTGGTGGTTGGGTGTTGGAGGGAGGGGGATAGAGTTTGTGAGGAAATGGGGTCTGGATCTAGGTTGTAATTTCTTGTCAGAGTAGTGTTGTAAGTGGACCAGCTCTGTGTTGAGGTGAAACCTAGGATCAGCTCGAGTGTAATGGGCTGGTTCTGTTTGTTGCTGTTGGGTGGGTGGTGGAGGAGGGGGAATGGGGAGTTTCATTTTGTTCTAGTTTACCACGTTGAAGAGATGGTTTGTTGGTATTGTTGAAGAGACCAAACTTTGTGCATGCTCACCCCAAGGGGAAAAGGGGGTAGAGGATACGATGTTGTCTTTCCTGGTGTGGTTGTCTATGGCGTGTATGAGAAAGTGATATGTTGACAGAACAGGCTGGTTGGGAGAGAGTGGGTGGGGTGTGGGATTTTTGCGCACTGGCGTACACTGGCCGGTGGGATGTGGGACGTTGTGAGCACCAGCCTGTGCAGGTCAGTGGGAGAGAGCGGGTGAGATGTGGGAGTTGTGTTGTAGTGTACTGGTTTTTGCTTGCCGGTGAGAGAAAAATGACGTACAAAAATACAACCCCCCCCCCCCCCAGGAGATGGGCATTGTTGTAAGTGTAACTGTAAAGTTGTTCTCCTTGTGTGGGAGATGGACCCTCTGGTCTGCTATTGATAAATTATTTTGACTTGCCAGTGGTGACCGGACAGTGGTCCTATTGCTGCTGTTTCTCTGGTGCATAAGGTATGTTTGTGTCTGTGTGTGAGTGTGTGTGTGTGTGTGAGGGGGAGGGGGGAGGTTGGGGGAGATACACCTCTCTCTCTCTCTTTCCTCTTCTTCTCTAATCTCTCTTTGTTTTGTGTCATGCTGCTTCTTCCATGCCTCTATCTATGTTGGTTGTTTTTGCAGTATAATTCATACATTCTCATAGGTTCTATTTCAGTATCATTTTCATTTCCATTATTTCACCATTTTATAATTCATTAAAATGTGTATATCATTGTCTGACAAAAACTGGTTTTCTTTCTTGCCTTGAGTTTGTTTTTATGTTGGTTATTGATTGTTTTGTTGTTAAATAGTTTATATGTGGGTTGTTGATTAGTTTTTAACTTTAAGTGGGTTTCTTGTTATTTGTTTGTCATGGTGTCAAATAAACACACACACACACACAAATCCACAGACTGAAGGCTGAAGTTGAAGTTAAGCCAAGATGTGTGTGTGGGTGGTTGCCAGGTGCTCTGGTGTGGTTTGCTCCTTCTTTCCCAGAGATGCCAACCAGTACGATTTTACGTATTTTAGTACGATTTTTTGCCGAAAATACGCGAATACAACTTTTCATGAAAAAATACGCACCCTGGAATGCGAAAAATACGAGATTCAGCTTGGGTGAGTAAACCTATCTCAAGTCCCATCTTTTTATCATAATCTGATATTATTAAAAATTTTTATTGTTACTTAAAAGTTGTTTTAGATCACAAATGTATTTTCACCGAATTTGAATATTTTAACTTTTTAGCATTTTAAAGTAAATTAGTTACCAGTCGTGAAGTGAACTTTCGCAGAGGTGAACAACTTGTGTTTCGCGCGCTCATATGACCTTAGCAGTTGCGAGCGCCGTAAAACCTTATACTACTACTACTTATCTCCACTCATTCTATTTTGTGTTTGTTACTAGGTGCCATAAAACGCTTACTAAAACAAAACAGTCTCTCTCTCTCTCTCTCTCTCTCTCTCTCTCTCTCTCTCTCTCTCTCTCTTCTCGCACACACTCACACACACTGTGTCACATGCACAAACACATAAACACAAATCCACAGACTGAAGGCTGAAGTTGAAGTTAAGCCAAGATGTGTGTGTGGGTGGTTGCCAGGTGCTCTGGTGTGGTTTGCTCCTTCTTTCCCAGAGATGCCAACCAGTACGATTTTACGTATTTTAGTACGATTTTTTGCCGAAAATACGCGAATACAACTTTTCATGAAAAAATACGCACCCTGGAATGCGAAAAATACGAGATTCAGCTTGGGTGAGTAAACCTATCTCAAGTCCCATCTTTTGTCAAAATAGTATCAGTATCGCAGAACTGGAATATTTGAAAACCAAGTCTGATGTGGTTAGCAAGTTTATTTTTGCCGGTCGCGATCGTGATATTATATTC